CTGCTAAACCGCATATTAGCAGCTAACATGGGAACCGATGTTAAAATTTCCTTCCATAACAGAGCGATGGAATCGCATCTGCCACTTGGAAAGACTCGCCAAAGCTACGTTAAGTTCCAGGACTCTGCGGTAGCTGGGAGATCAGCTCAAGAGAAGAGCAGGCGGGAAATTCTTAGGTTACTCAGCAGCTTCGAACTGCTGCTCATGAGTGCCTGTGTATCTTTAAGTTTCTCGTTGGTACGGCAGAAACATGTATCTCACCCGCTCATGCACAGCTCCTATCTGTTGTGGTTTTACTCCGACTGCTTCGGCCATCACTTGGCCTCCAACTGATGACCAAACTTTGTCAACTGGCGCCAACTAGTGTTCTTTTGGAGAGTATCGACGCTCTACGTGACAGCGGAAAAACTGCCCACAGTCTCTTTGGAGAGCCTGTCGCCTGATGTGAGGGCGAATACTGAAAATTAAGGTGACCAAGGAAATGGACATCTGACGATCGTGTAAAATATTGACGTGGAATGTACATGGGGTAAAAGACGGCGGTCGCAATATCATATCGCAGCACCTCAAGCACTTATGTTTTTCCTGTATCCAAGAAACCAGGTTTAAAGATAAAAACCAAACGGAGCGATTTATTCACTTGGTTATTCAATACTTAGCAATACTTAGCTTAGCTGTCTTGATTTGCATTGTAGGTTTTGACGCGTGGAACACTTGTACTAGTCTTTTAGCGCCCCAATCCACTGCTGTGATATCGAGGTATATCCGTCTGCTTGTAGGGCACCGACACTACGTTCGAGGGCACAGCCGACGCGGCGTGTACTGATGTGATTAAGAACGAGCAGTGTCTCCGTCGCACGGGGCGTCAAAATTATGAGAACCTACGTACTTCATAATGGGCAGTACTTGCGAGGGGCGCTCGTACTTGTAGTGGGATGTCCGACACTCTAGCTCGACCGCTTTGTTGGGGTGCTGGTAAGCTTCCGCCTCGTGTCACCACAGTACGACGGTCACTGCTAATGTTGGCGATTTCTTCGTGATCAATAACAACATGGCCTCGCATTAAAATGTTTCGACGCCGGTTATGGCGGCCGCGGGCGAGGTCGCCAGGCTGGTACTGGTAGGGACAGCAATATCGTACGCAATACTGGTCCCTGTTGAAGAAGCTTGGTATACGGGTGTGCGATAAATTTTGCATTCGCGACGCCATGGAGATATTGACGCGAACCAGATGCGAATTCTGGAGTACGGGAGTATCTTGCTGTAGTTAATAGCGGTACGTGACGGCGGATGTATAGCGCGATCGCTTGGTTCGGTCACGGCCGGTAAGTTTGGAAGTGGAAACAGAACGCGGTTCGGTTGCGATGAGACTGATCCGTGGGATGGTAGCGGTTGATAGACGTAGTTTGTGTCGAATCCCATCAAGGTGACACTCGATACGAGTGCGCACAGTTGTTCCCAGGTCGGTGGATAGAAAATCGACATGATTTGGGAACGCCCATCGCTGGTCTGCCTGCGAGGTACAACCGCGCCGCAATACTTACTTTATCACCGTGTGCACGTGTCAATAACCTCACCGGGAATTCTATGTGGGTAACGACCGGGGTCCTGCCACCATCCATACTTGAAATGAGCTTTGGTTGGTAGCCGAGGGAGGTCTGCTGTCGATCTGAGTGAGTTCGATGGCGTCTGGGTCGACAGTGTACATGTGCATAGTGTCCGGCGCTCGGACCTCATAACGTATGGAACGCTTTGAAGCTTCAGGTCACACAGAGAGAATTGGGATTGGATTTCCATCCTGAATGTAGCACCCGTCCGAGCTTCCGATAGGGTGATATAACGATAGTCTTCAAAATCGTGATTGAACCAGAACACCAGTGACGCTACGTTATGCGCTGTCTATTGCCAGACACCGTTGAACTCATCAACAAATTCTTGTGTCGCCTCGCGAGCGGCATGTGGTTCCCTGGAAAAACTCTTCGGCGAAGATATGTAACAACATTAGTGTGTCGAATATGACCTCGATCATGGCGGGTCGGAGAGCTTCCGACAGGGGGACGGCCACCGAGTAACTGTTAAGGATAGCGGCGCCGTCTGGGTTGCACGCGTACATAGCAACAATATGCTAGCGCCGGGAAGGGAGGATGAATTAAACCTCGCGCGCCGAACTTGAATGCAAAGAGGCGTGTAATGATCGGTAGGTGAGGCTTATACTTGGTCGAACGGGAAGAAATCATAATACCAACTAAAAGAGCAGAATCGTTGCTTTCGTACTGTGTGGAGGCTATCACGTTGCTAACTTGTAGCTTGGGCTGGGTAGGTGTGAATGCGGTGACGGGCTGTATTCTCGTCAATCAAGTTAGCGATGATGTTGAGATGACGTCGTTACCGCTCGGGCAGCTCGTTATGATCACCAGGCGACCTTTGTGAGAACCTGGTTGACACACACCAGGATAGAACCGGATTAAATATGGAACATCTACAATGGCCGCAAATACACGTACCGTCCTGTGGGATGAGAATGCAGCTTGATCTTGGAAACATGCACTACCGGAAAATGCTGTATGTTGATCCTACGACCTCCAACTTCACTGCATATTCCCCTATCTTTTCAGCGACACAGAATGGACCATGTCGCTAGTGTGCCACCTTTTTTGCATATCCCTCACGCACCCGATCTAGGTATAACCGGACTCTACCGGATGCGGACGTACTAGATCATTATGCATGTCGGCCCGATCCGCGATCGCTTCACGTAAACGTTGGTTCACCTGTTCTCGAGCTTGTTGATAGTACCTTTGCATCCGGTATCGCCATCTTCTTGGATCTCGATCATGCCTGCGAGTGTTCCCTACTGGGATCACCGCTTCCAAGGTGGATCTAGAATCCCAATCATGTATCATGTAGAAAGGGGTTTCACCCTGGATCCGATCTCTTGCAGTGTTAATCGCGAAGGTGAGCCGCTCAGCGTATTTGTCCCAATGTTGTTAATCCAGATCTTGCACATACATCTTAAGAGCCTTGGTAGTTGTCTGGACCATACGCCCTGCGGATCCATTGGCTTGGAGTTGATACGCCATAGTAGCACGTTGACGTTGTCCAGGGATCTTGTTGAAAGGCTTAAAGAAGTCAGGCATAAAACCTGGCTCCCGATCATGCCGGGTCACCTCGCTTGCACCAAATCTGCGGAAGATACATTCCTTGTAGGTCTCAGCGATCGTCTGAGCGGATCTAGAGGCGCTGGCTTTGGCGATCACATATCCCGAGAATAGATCCACGAAGATCAGCAATTCGGTGTTACCGTTGAGGGATCTAAGCAATGAAGGTATGTGATCCATGGCAATGATCTGGAATGGGTATGTCGCCTGAAGGTTACCACGTGACTCACCTTCGATCCGGGGTCGACTTTTGTCTGTTTCACAGTCGGCACATTCTCCCACGTATCGCTGTACGCTCTTATACAGCTCTCTCCAGTGGAAATGATCACGGATCCGATCGTAGGTGTGAACGACCCCTTGATGGTCACCTTGTAGGCTCATGTGACCGTGATGCAAAATGTCTTGTTGAAGCGTCTCAGGTATCACCAGTCGCATCCACTTATCTCGATCTGCAGCTGCTTTTTTAGTTGTCGGGTAGTAGAAGAGTAGATCCGACTGATCCACTTCATAATTCATATCGATAGATCCAAACATCTTAGCATCTTCTTGTGTCAGATCCCGGATCTCCCCAACCAAATACTTCTTCAAGCCCAGGATCCACGACTCTTCGTCTTGCCTTGCCGGATCCGCTCAATCCGTAGCTCTCTCACGACCTCCTCTCGTAGGGAGTCTGAATCAGATCCCATACGCACTCCAGATCTAGCCTTAGATCGGGTCGTTACGGTAGATATCTGTGCGATCTCGTCTTCGATCTTCACTATCAGGATCTCATTCAACCAGTTCAAGGTTACTAGATCCTGGATCTCCTTTTCAGTCTCGATCTCGGTCCCACATTGCCGTTGCAGAGCGGTGCTTGCTAAGCTGTCAGCATTCCCGTTCCAATATCGTTTGGCGTGTAACAGCTCATGATCTGGCCAAGTACGTAGCCGATCCAAAGCCCGTTTGCGTAACTGTGTCAGACCTGGTGCCTTACAATCGATCTCGCCTCGTACTTGTCGGATCACCAGGTTCGAGCCTCCGCAGATCACCAGACGTCGCGGATCCAGATCTTCCAACCGATCCAAACATAGGAACAGCCCACGGTATTCCGCCTCGTTCACCGTCAAGTTTTCGGCATACCCAGATCTAACCTTCAGCACCCTCCATTCGGGCAGCTTCCACAAGATCGCGCTGTAGGCGCCTCCACCTCTCTTGACGCGAGCAGATCCATCGAAACTAATGACGTATAGCTCCTCATCGCGTCTAATAGTGGGGATCGGCGCTTGGACCTTGCGTCTTGGCTCCTTTTTTGGTGCAAAAGAGATCAATGCTTTATCCTTTTCGGATCTAAGGGTAATACTGGCCGCCAATGATCCTAAGATTTCCTCCTCTCCTTTGACACACTTGGTGATCTCAAGAGTTCAGGGCGACAATAGAGCGACTCACTGTCCCATATGTCCTTGCAGGGCGGCGGACATGAAGAGCCACGCCAATGTTGAGTGTCGGGTCAACACGTGGATCGGGCGTCCGACCAGCGCATTGTAGTTAAGATCCAGGATCGTCAGCAGGGCCAATACCTCTTTCACCTCGATGCCAGAGTTTAGTTCATTCGACTTCAGTGTGCGGCTCGCAAACATCACGGGGTAGTAGATCTGGTCGTAATCCTGCATCAATGATCCCGAAATGGTCCAATCGCTAGCATATACCACAACTGTGGCCTTCCGATCTGGGTGAAAGTGTTGAAAGATCGGAGTTGTAGCGATCCTGGCTTTAAGCACACTGAAGGACCGGTGGGCATGGATCCAACATCGATCCACCTCACTAGGATCTGGCGCCTCCAGATCCCAGGTCTTTCGGTGGTCGACACCCTGATCTTCCTGCGATCCTTGATTCACATTCTCCACTTCCAGTATTTGTTGGATCCGCGCTTGGGTAGCCTCCTTCATCATCGCAACAAAGTCGATTTCTCGCAATTCGTACAGAACTGATGCGTAGATTGCATAGTCTTCAATAAATAGGCTGTAATATTTCAGACTTCCCAAAAATGACTGCATGGCTCGAAGTGATTCAGGGAACGCTAGATCCGTCAGCGCCGACAGATTTTTCGGGTTCGTCTTCAGTCCATTGTGAGAGACCTTTTGACCCAGACATTCCACCTTGGGCATTCCCCAGAAACACTTGACTACATTGATTGCCAGATTCCATTTATCGCACGCTTCGCGTAAACCTTCGACTCGGTCACATAGTTGATTCCAGTTATTGGCTGGGATCAGGATGTCGTCGATATATGATCTACGCCCAAGCACCGATCGCTTGCCTGGATCCACCGGTTCCCCGTCCTCAAACACGTCTAAAGTACCTCCGTGATCTTCAGATTTCGGGATCCGAGTGAATCCATATAGCGCGTTGTCGATCATACGTTGATAGATCTGGGGTGCATTCTCCAAGCCGAAAGGCATCCAGTTCCACTCATTTAATCCGAAGGGAGTAATATAAGCCGAGCTGAAGCGAGCACGATCCGTCATTTTCACTACCCAAAACCCACTCGCCATATCCAAAGAACAGTACCAAATTGTCGACTCCAGATCTTCAAGTAGGTCGTTGATCAAGGACATTTGGTAGACTATTAGCTGAGTTAAACCGTTAACTAGCCGATAATCGATACACCACCTGATATCCACTCCATTCTTCTTGATGATCACCACGATCGGGGAAGCCCATGGTGATCTAGGATAGTTGATCATCTTGGCGGACAATAGACTGTGGTGAAGTCGGTGAACCTTTCACCCCTTGGCGTACAGTGCTCGC